CTTCCAATTAACGCGCCTGCACACGTTGTCACTGAGAGATGTCTCGCCTTTGGTGGATCCGAACTTCGTGAATCTCTCTTCTCTCACGAGGTTGTCTATTCAAAAGCTGAACATGCGGGTGCATCAGATGTCGCCGTTAACTCGCCTTCCGAATCTGACCAGCCTGTTCTTCCCAGGAGAGATATACTCCGACAGTTTCAAGGGGGATTTCTCAATTGGTGAACTGACAAATCTTCGTTTGCTGGGATTCGTGCGGGGAACAACAGACTTCCCTGCAATGTTTCGCCAGAATCACCGTGTTTCCGTCTTCAACGTCTGCTGCTAAGCTATATTCCGAGCATCCCGCCTGATGGGCTTGGAGAACGGTTCCCAGTACTTCGCGAACTCTGCCTTTTCGGTAGCCTTTATTCTGCTGAGTTCCTGGTACCAGATTCCATCACAAGCCTTAGCACTTTGGAAGTTCTAACCATTCTCAACCATTCTCAACTTCAAAATCTTGGAGAATTTTGGAGATTTTCCAGGGCTGAAGTCATTAGCGTTGAACAGATTGTCGTTGAATAGACTCCCCGATTCTACTAGGCTGCTCACAGGGCTTCAGAAACTATCCTTGGATCATGTGGACATAGACACCCTCCCCATAACGATTTCCTGCTTGACTGCTCTTGAATCGTTGAGCATACGGGATCAAGGCTGACGACACTTCCGGAGGAGATAGGGTTTAGGGTGCTGAGCGGTTGTGAAGAACTACAGCAGCTGACGGCGTCGTTCAGTCGCCTCTCTTCTCTAACGCGGCTCGAAATCAGCAGCTGTCCCGTTGTTAACCTTCCAGAGGGTACAGACCATCTTGGTGACCTGCGGGAGTTGACCTTGAGCTGCTGCGATGAGCTGACAGCTCTGCCAGCATCCATCACTCAACTGAGCCGCCTGAAGACTTTCAAGGCCTGCATGTGTATCAAGCTTGCGTCTACACCTCGAGCCTTGGAAAACCTCTCATGCCTGCGGGAGCTGGATCTGACGGGATGTGAACTTTTGCAGGAAACTTTGGAATCTTTGCCGCAGTCTCTGGAAACATTGAGCTTGGGAAACGACACCAGCAGCATCATTCTTCCAGATTTGTCAACGACTCCAAATCTAAAGAAGCTGAAAATGATTCGGGTTACCATCATGGACGCACCAGCGACCAGCCGTTGTCCCTCTCAGATAGAGCACCAGGAGATGCGCCTGGGCGTTGAACAGACAGAGCTTCCACTCTCGCACAGTTTCCTTTCATGCCTCCGTAATCTACGCATCCCGAATGCCACAGCATTGCATCACTGCCTCATAACATCGGCTCTGCTCTGCCTCAGCTGCGACAGCTGCACGTGGAAGGTGCGGAATCTCTGACGGAGATTCCAGAAAGTGTAACCCGGCTAGTGTAACTCACCTCCCTTCATATTGAAGCTCCAAGCCTGACCCATCTTCCGGAGACCATTTCCGCCTTGTCAAGGTTAGGCGACCTTAGCCTGCTTAATTGCTCCTCCTTGACAAGCCTGCCCGATTCTTTCACCAGCCTCACTTACCTGCACAAATTGGATGCCAGGAAGGGGTTTTTTTATCAGAGTAAATTACTCTGTTTCTCTGAAAATCAGAGTGGTTTTTAGGGGGTCACTCTGACGTGTCTGGGTAATTTTTTTGGAGGATAAGTTTTCTCTGATTTGTCAGGGTTCTGATTTTAGCTTCTCTGAGGGACCAGTGTATATTTGTGGCGGATGTACTTTTCTCTGTACAGGGTATAGGCATTTCGACCTACCGGTACCCCCCCCCCCGAACCCCCCTCCCCCCCAATTGCTGGGCAGATTCAGATGATTTATAAATATCCGTAATTCCCATATACATGGTGAGCACGTAGCACAACGGTTAGCCTTTTTGGTAGGAGTGCAGAAGGTCTGGGTTCAATACTTGAGAGGACACTCAGAGTTGGAAAAATAGGTTCACTGGGTGCCCAGAGTATATTTTTCAGAAGTTAAGTTTTCTCTGACAAATCAGAGTAACGCTCGTAATGAACCCTGAATTTCAGAGTTCTCTAGAAAACAGCTCTGGAAATCCGAGTAGTGAAAATCCAAAAAAAAGCCCTGGAAGACGGCTCTTCACTTTCTCCCTCCCAACTTCCACCATTTGGCACGAGTCAGAGAGCTGGATCTGAGTGGCTGTGAGCACCTTCAGTCCCTGCCGCAACAGCTGTGTGACTTGACGATGCCGCTAGTGCTGAATTTCTTTGGCTGCAGAATGCTTGGTCCTTACAACCTTCAAGAGAGGCTTGGACTCCAGTCGTACCAAGACTATTGGTAGATCCAGCAGCTATTTTGCATACATTAAGATACAGTTATGCAATAGTGCGTACGTGTAGGACATGTACGGGGGGATCCACAACTCATGACTAGCTCTCGGCCTCGTTATAAGGTGCCTCGTGACGCTAGTAGCTCTCCTCTGATTCAATGCAGCAGTGGTACATGATTGGCAGCAGTGGTGCATGATTGGCAGCAGTGGTGCATGATTGGCAGCAGTGGTGCATGATTGGCAGCAGTGGTGCATGATTGGCAGCAGTGGTGCATGACTGGCAGCAGTGGTGCATGATTGGCAGCAGTGGTGCATGATTGGCAGCAGTGGTGCATGATTGGCAGCAGTGGTGCATGATTGGTAGCAGTGGTGCATGACTAGCAATAGTGGTGCATGATTAGCAGCAGTGGTGCATGAGGAGAATCGGTGATCAGACGCAGTAGAGCCGAAGGAACAGGTGGCACGAACAATGTCTGCAAATAAAGGGACAGTGATGGACAGGGACAGGGGTGGACAGGGACACAACACAAGGTATTTAGTTGTGGTTGTTTCATCTCACCATGCTCGTTTCATCTCACTGTGACGCATTCATCTCACCGCGCTAGTTTCTTCTCACCATGCTCGTTTCATCTCACAATGCTCGTTTCATCTCACCATGCTCGATTCAGCTCACCATGCTCGTTTCATCTCACCATGCTCGTTTCATCTCACCATGCTCGTTTCATCTCACCATGCTCGTTTTATCTCACCGTAGTCATCTCATCATCCAGTGGCCCCCATGGTACGACACCGTGAACAGATCCTCGCCACCATGCCCTGCACGCACATGCATGAGAGATGAGCCATGAGAGACAGATACGGTAATCATTGTGTGGGATGGAGCACATCTATGTGATCATTGTGAACACATCCTTCGCCACCACGCCCTGCACGCCATGCACGCCCAATCCTCCCCTCCGCCCTCCCCAGTCCCCCCACCCTTCCCCCCTCACTCATAGTGCAGGGCCGCTAGTTCCATGTGAGTCCCATGGCGAGCTGTGTGCCGGAATCCTGCAGGTGGGGAGAATGGGAAAGGGGGAAGGGGAACAGATTGAGGTGCAAGACGGTGGGATTCGGTGCAGGGAGGTGAGTCGCATGTGAGGCCCATGGCTAGCTGTGTGCCGGAATCCTGCAGGTGTGCCCATATAGGGTTTAGGGGGAAGAGGAGGGAGGAACAATCGAGAGGGGAAAGGGCACGAAGGGAAGGGGCAGGGGGAAGTGGGAGAAGACAGGAAAAAGGGAAATGGGGAGGAAAAAGGGAAATGGGGAGGAAAAATGGAAATGTGGAGGAAAAAGGGAAATGGGGAGGAAAAAGGGAAATGGGGAGGAAAAAGGGAAATGGGGAGGAAAAAGGGAAATGGGGAGGAAAAAGGGAAATGGGGAGGAAAAAGGACAATGGGGAGGAAAAAGGGCAATGGGGAGGAAAAAGGGCAATGGCGAGGAAAAAGGGCAATGGGGAGGAAAAGGGGCAATGGGGAGGAAAAAGGGCAATGCGGAGGAAAAAGAGCACGGAGAAAGGGGAAGGGAGACGAGGGAGGAGGAAAGGTGGAAAGGGGGAGGAGGGATGGGGAGGGCAAAAAGGAAGGGGGAACGTGGAAGGCGGAAAGCGGAAGGCGGTAGGGGGAAGAGGGAACGGGAAAAAGGGGAGAGAAGGGGGAAAGGGGAAAGGGAGTGAGGTGGTGAGGGAAATGGCAAAGGGGAAAGGGAAAAGGGGGGATGAATGTGATTGCTTGCTGATAAATGCGTGGGAGTCTCTTACTAGCAGGGGGCCATTGGATTCAGGCTTCTTTTATAGAGTGACAGTGTGGGTGGAAACTCAAATGGCCAAGCCAAGCAAGCAGAAATGAATCTCCAGCGCAGCAAGCCAAGCAACCAATCCAATCCACTCCACTCCACGCCACTCCACTCCACTCCAACCCACTCTTGGGGTGCCATGCAGTGGTACAAAGTGTGTGTTACAACTGGTTGTGAGAAAGTAAGCCAAGGAAGCCAAGCAACCAATCCAATCCAATCCAATCCAATCCACTCCACTCGACTCTTGGGGTGCAAGGTGACTTTTGAGTCGACTCGAAAGTCACCATGCAGTGTACACAGAGGTTGTGAGAAAGTAAGCGTGTGGACCACTGCTAGCAGCAGCCTGCCCGCGCACTCACAGCGTATGGAGCTGGGCGACGTCGCTGCTGTCAGGTGGGCCATGCTTCAGCAGCACCCTCGAAACAGTCACAGCAGCCTCGATACAGTCACAGAAGCCTCGATACAGTCACAGCACTCTCGGTACAGTCACAGAAGCCTCGATACAATCACAGCAGCCACGATACAGTCACAGCAGCCTCGATACAGTCACAGAAGCCTCGATACAGTCACAGCAGCCCCGAGTCACAGAAGCCTCGATACAGTCACAGCAGCATCGATACAGCCACAGCACCCTCAATACAGTCGCAGCAGCCTCGATACAGTCAGAGCAGCCTCGATACAGTCAGAGCAGCCTCGATACAGTCACAGCAGCATGAACCGCTGCTAGCAGCAGCCCTGCCCGCGCCACAGCCAGTCGTGCCACTCCTGCCACTCCTGCCATTCGGGGCACACGGTGATGGGAAGGGAAGAAGCGGGAGAAAGGGACGGATGAGCAGCCGGGGAGCCGAAGCTTAGAGGACACAGGTGGCAAGAGCACAGGTGGTAAGAACACAGGTGGTAAGAGCATAGGTGGTAAGAGCACAGGTGGTAAGAGCACAGGTGGTAAGAGCACAGGTGGTAAGAGCACAGGTGGCAAGAGCACAGGTGGCAAGAGCACAGGTGGTAAGAGCACAGGTGGTAAGAGCACAGGTGGTAAGAGCACAGGTGGTAAGAGCACAGGTGGCAAGAGCACAGGTGGCAAGAGCACAGGTGGTAAGAGCACAGGTGGTAAGAGCACAGGTGGTAAGAGCACAGGTGGTAAGAGCACAGGTGGCAAGAGCACAGGTGGCAAGAGCACAGGTGGTAAGAGCACAGGTGGTAAGAGCACAGGTGGTAAGAGCACAAGTGGTAAGAGCACAGGTGGTAAGAGCACAGGTGGCAAAAGCACAGGTGGTAAGAGCACAGGTGGTAAGAGCACAAGTGGTAAGAGCACAGGTGCTAAGAGCATAGGTGGTTAGAGCACAGGTGGTAAGAGCACAGGTGGTAAGAGCACAGGTGGTAAGAGCACACGTGGTAAGAGCACACGTGGTAAGAGCACAGGTGGTAAGAGCACAGGTGGTTAGAGCACAGGTGGTAAGAGCACAAGTGGTAAGAGCACAGGTGGTAAGAGCACAGGTGGTAAGAGCACAGGTGGTAAGAGCACAGGTGGTAAGAGCACAGGTGGTAAGAGCACAGGTGGTAAGAGCACAGGTGGTAAGAGCACAGGTGGTAAGAGCACAGGTGGTAAGAGCACAGGTGGTTAGAGCACAGGTGGTAAGGGCACAGGTGGTAAGAGCACAGGTGGTAAGAGCACAGGTGGTAAGAGCACAAGTGGTAAGAGCACAGGTGGTAAGAGCACAGGTGGTAAGAGCACAGGTGGTAAGAGCACAGGTGGCAAGAGCACAGGTGGTAAGAGCACAGGTGGTAAGAGCACAGGTGGCAAGAGCACAGGTGGTAAGAGCTCAGGTGGCAAGAGCACATGTGGCAAGAGCATAGGTGGCAAGAGCACAGGTGGCAAGAGCTCAGGTGGAAAGAGCACAGGTGGCAAGAGCACAGGTGGCAAGAGCACAGGTGGCAAGAGCACTGGTGGTAAGAGCACAAGTGGTAAGAGCACAGGTGGTAAGAGCACAGGTGGTAAGAGCACAGGTGGCAAGAGCACAGGTGGTAAGAGCACAGGTGGTAAGAGCACAGGTGGCAAGAGCACAGGTGGTAAGAGCACAGGTGGTAAGAGCACAGGTAGCAAGAGCACAGGTGGTAAGAGCACAGGTGGTAAGAGCACAGGTGGCAAGAGCACAGGTGGTAAGAGCACAGGTGGTAAGAGCACAGGTGGCAAGAGCACAAGTGGTAAGAGCTCAGGTGGCAAGAGCACATGTGGCAAGAGCATAGGTGGCAAGAGCACAGGTGGCAAGAGCTCAGGTGGAAAGAGCACAGGTGGCAAGAGCACAGGTGGCAAGAGCACAGGTGGCAAGAGCACTGGTGGTAAGAGCACAAGTGGTAAGAGCACAGGTGGTAAGAGCACAGGTGGTAAGAGCACAGGTGGTAAGAGCACAGGTGGTAAGAGCACAGGTGGTAAGAGCACATATGGTAAGAGCACAGGTTGCAAGAGCACTCCTGGTAAGAGCACAGGTGGCAAGAGCACAGGTGGCTAGAGCACAGGTGGCAAGAGCACAGGTGGCAAGAGCACAGGTGGCAAGAGCACAGGTGGCAAGAGCACAGGTGGTAAGAGCAGAGGACAACTAGGCGGTGAGTGCTGGCGGAACGAAACCACGAGGTGATGGAGTGGTGTGCGTGGTGGGAAGGCTGGGAGCGTGGGAGGGTGGAGGGATGAGAGGGGTTGACACAGCAGCGAAGCGGCGGGCAGTGGAATGGCTTGTGTAGAAACGGGCCTGCAGAGCGAGCGAGTGAGCGGACAAAGATTAGAGCGACTGAGCGAGCAACACACTGGATGTCTCTCCTGCCGCATGGCACATCTGAGCTCGTGAGGGTGGGGGTGGGAAGGCTGGGAGTGCCTGGGGCGACTGGGAAAGCGGGAAGACGGGTAGGGTGGTTAGGGGAGTTAGGGCTCGGCACAGGAACAGCTGAAGAAGTGCGAGGGTGTGAGACGCGGAGGTATGGAGTGACGCGGAGGTATGGAGTGACGCGGAGGTATGGAGTGATGCGGAGGTATGGACTGACGCGGAGTTATGGAGTGACGCGGAGGTATGGAGTGACGCGAAGGTATGGAGTGACGCGGAGGTATGGAGTGACGCGGAGGTATGGAGTGACGCGGAGGTATGGAGTGACGTGGAGGTATGGAGTGACATAGAGAGGGCGACTTGGCGAATGTGGCATAGTAATCAGGGCAGGGGGGGGGCAAGGGGTGCCAAGGGGGGGGGAGGGCGGGGCAGGGCAGGGGACATGTGGCGACATGCAGGGGAAGAGGCAGGCACGGCGAGCATGGCAGCAATCGCGGGTCACGGGTGGCAGCACGCTCAAGAGCTGCGCGTGGCGGAGCTGGCGCATGGCGGATCTGCGCATGGCGGAGCTGCGCATGGCGGAGCGCGGATCTCGTTGTTGTCCCTCTGCCGCCATCGCCGAGCTAAGAAACGAGACTGCACACAATGCGAGTCGCATGTTTGCGAGTCGCAGCGAAGAGCAAGGCAGCGCCACGACATGGGCGGGTGGATAATCTCAAGTTGTGTGCTTAGAGATCTTCTGAGGCTTACTGCGCGTGTGCTGTGAACCATCACTTGGGACATATTCTCAGCGAGCAGCAAACTCAGTCAGGCTTAATATGTCCCAAGACCGGGTGGATGATCTCAAGGTGTGCGCTTAGAGATCTTCTTGATGTAAAGGAGTCTCCTCTACTTTGCAGGAAACACTTCTGGGCTTACTGCGCGTGTGCTCTGAGCCATCACTTGGGCTTAATATGTCCCAAGACCGGGTGGATAATCTCAAGGGACTGCGCGTGTGCTCTGAGCCATAACTTGGGCTTAAAGCCCGAGTACAGCATGGTTATTTTCAAGTTCAAGATTCTTGAACTTGAATTCGTAAAAAACAGGGTTACCCTACTTGTTTGTACAAAACTCTCGCGACTCTGGGACAACACTTAACGACACTCTCTCCTCATTGGCTTTTTAGCACAGTCGCAAAACAGAACCGAACGTCGCTCAGGTTGGCCCACCGTTTGGCTCTCACATATCTTGAACACCAAGTCGTACTCGTGATCGGCCTACTTCCTCTCGTAAGTAGACAGCCAGTGCGCCTTCACCTAGTTCTAGGGACCGCGATTTTTACAGCAACTCCCAAGGCACACATGCTGTCTCGCCAATAGCTGGGCAGCACAAGCCTAGTGTCACCCGATATTTACAAACGTTGTCGCGTTACTCACACGGAACGTTTGGTGCAAACGACAGCTTCACCATGCTTAGGCCCTCGTTTAGCGCTCGTCGTCACCCGCGCTCCCCCTCGCCACCCGCGCCCGCCCTCATCACTCGCGCCCGCCCTCGTCACTCGTGCCTGCCCTCGTCACTCGCGTTAACCCTCGTCACTCGCGTTAGCCCTCGTCACTCGCGTTGGCCCTCGTCACTCGCTTGCCTGCGATTCCGTGCTTCCCCTCGTCATGCGTTTCCCTTCGTCGCGCACGTTTCCGCTCGTCGCGCACGCGACTTCTCGTCACGCGCTCTTCCGCTCGATGCGCGCTCTCCTCTCCTTGTCACACGCGTTTCCCCTCGTGACGCGCACTCCTTCCCTCGTCACCAGCTCAATCATTCAGTCGCAATCTATTTTTCTTCGCATCACCTGCTTCCCCCCTCCCTCCTCCCTCCTCCCTGCTTCCCCCCTCCTCCCTGCTTCCCCCCTCCCTGGGCCCTGCTTCCCCCCTCCATCCCCCCTGCTTCGCCCCTCCCTCCGCCCTCCTTCCCCCCTCCTTCTGTCATGCTCCCCTCATCCCTCCGCCCTGCTTCCCCCCTCCCTCCGCCCTGCTTCCCCCCTCCCTCCACCCTGCTTCCCCCCTCCCTCCGCCCTGCTTCCCCCTCCCTATACCCTGCTTCCCCCCTCCCTATGCCCTGCTTCCCCCCTCCCTCCGCCCTGCTTCCCCCCCCCCTTGCGCCCTGCTTCCCCCCTCCCTCCGCCCTGCTTCCCCCTCCCTCCACCCTGCTTCCCCCCTCCATCCCCCCTGCTTCCCCCCTCCCTCCGCCCTGTTTCCCCCCGCCCTCATAGAGGTGAGAGTCACGCACCAGGTGCCTTCTCGTCACGCGCGCTTTCTGCTCGTCGCACGATTTCCTCCCCTCGCCACGCGCGTTCCCTATCGTTAAGCACTATCCTCCCCTCGTCACGCGCGCTTCCCCTCCGCCACTTATCGCCAACCCCTACCCACGTCGCCATCGACACCATCGTGTGTAGCAACTCCCCCATACGCCCTCGCTCCTTCCAGCCACAGCAACTCCTTCCATACTGATGTGAGGGGCAGAGCGGGAGAGACAGAGGGGGAAGGACAGCTGAGGGGGGGATGGTGTCACAGTGAACGAATGATTGATGGGCGGGGAACAGGAAGGGAATGGGCGGGGGAGATGAGAAGGACAGAAGGGGAAGGAGAAGGGGGAGAGGGGGAAGGACAGAGGGGGGGAGACAGAACAGGCGGCGAGGAATAGGGGGGGGGACAGAGGGGGAGAGACAGAGGGGGAAGGACAAATGGGGAGGGACAGAGGGGGAAGGACAAATGGGGAGAGAGAGAGGGGGAAGGACAAATGGGGAGAGACAGAGGGGGAAGGGTCGAGGGGGAGAGACAGAGGGTGAGAGCGGGTACTTCCCTCACTCCCTCTCCCCATCTACCTCACTCCCCCCTAATTGTTTACACCCCTCTTTATTTTGACCATCCTCCCTTTCTCCCACCAGCTCTGTTCACCCCCCAATCTATTCTCCTTTGCCTCACCTGCTTCCCCCCTCCCTCCGCCCTGCTTCGTCCCTCCTTCGGCCATGCTTCCCTGCTTCCCCCATCCCGTTCCTTGCTTCCCCCCATCCTCTTCCCCCCATCCCCTTCCACCATCCCCTTCCCTGCTTTCCCGCATAATTTCCCTCTCCATGCGTCCTTCCACTCCCTGCTTTCATCATGTGCCTCTGCTTGTTGTATCCCCTTGCGGTTGTTCCCTTGCACCTCACACCACCTCCCCCGTGTTTCTTCACAAAATTCTTTCTGCCTACACCACTCCCCTAATTTTCAGTGGTGAAGCAAAGGAACAAGCCGAGGCGTAGCTAGTCGATGCTTTACACCATACCACTGCCTGTTTCTTGTCTGTTGTATGCAAGCATGATATGAGAACACTGTTGGAGATATCCATCCCAGAAGCACAATATGTACTTTGTTTCTGCAGTGCAAGATTTTCTTCCAAGATGCATGGACACGAAGAGTGTCAGAAGGGTACCGTACATAGAGGCATCACCCTACTACTTTTGATTGTACCCTTCTCAAGGCATTGAAAAAAACATGAGGGGAACTGGTTTCTCTACGAGCATGGCATGGGATGATGGGCTGGGGCGAGTTGCAGTACCAGAAAAAGACTTCAGCGTAGTCACTGCAATAGCCAGGGAGAGGGAGGGAATATGGGGAGGGGGAACAAGAAAATAGTCAAACAGGGGAGATAGGGAAGAGGAGGAGGAAGAGGGGGAAGGGAAAGGGGAAGCATGTCAGCTGAGGTGGCAGGAGGAGCACGTAAGGGGTTGGAGGTGAGGGGAAAGGGGAGAGGGAAGATATGGAAATCAGGTAGGCAGGTGGGGGGAGCAGGGAAAAGTGGTTAGGAAGAGACGAGAAACAGAGCAAAGAGGGGGAGAGGAGAAACAGGGGAAGGGCGCGGTCGTCAGAGAGAAAGGAATGAGGAGGGGGAGAGGGGGAGGGGTGAGAAACACATGAGGGGTTGAGACATGCAGCAGTGTACAATCTCCTTTCATACTCCCCACTCCTCTCATACCCCCCACTCCTCTCATACTCCTTTGCCTCACCTGCCACTCCCCCCTTCCTCCTCCCTGCTTCCCCCTCCCTCCTTCCTGCTTCCCCCCTCCCTCCTTCTTGCTTCCCCCCTCCCTCCTCCATGCTTCCCTCCTCCCTCCTTCCTGCTTCCCCTCGTCCCCTCCCCCTTTTTCCTCCATCCCCTTCCCTGCTTCCCTCCATCCCCTTCCCTGCTTTCCCCCATCCCCTACCCTGCTTCCCCCCATCCCCTACCCTGCTTCCCCCCATCCCCTTCCCTGCTTCCCCCCATCCCCTTCCCTGCTTCCCCCCCCATCCTCTCCCTCCCCATGTACAATCTCCTTTCATACTCCCCACTCCTCTCATACACCCCACTCCTCTCATACTCCTTTGCCTCACCTGCCACTCCCCCCTTCCTCCTCCCTGCTCCCCCCCTCCCTCCTTCCTGCTTCCCCCCTCCCTCCTTCCTGCTTCCCCCCTCCCTCCTCCATGCTTCCCCCCTCCCTCCTTCCTGCTTCCCCTCTTCCCCTCCCCCTTTTTCCCCCATCCCCTTCCCTGCTTCCCTCCATCCCCTTCCCTGCTTTCCCCCATCCCCTACCCTGCTTCCCCCCATCCCCTTCCCTGCTTCCCCCCATCCCCTTCCCTGCTTCCCCCCATCCCCTTCCCTGCTTCCCCCCCCATCCTCTCCCTCCCCATGTACAATCTCCTTTCATACTCCCCACTCCTCTCATACCCCCCACTCCTCTCATACTCCTTTGCCTCACCTGCCACTCCCCCCTTCCTCCTCCCTGCTCCCCCCCTCCCTCCTTCCTGCTTCCCCCCTCCCTCCTTCCTGCTTCCCCCCTCCCTCCTCCATGCTTCCCCCCTCCCTCCTTCCTGCTTCCCCTCGTCCCCTCCCCCTTTTTCCCCCATCCCCTTCCCTGCTTCCCTCCATCCCCTTCCCTGCTTTCCCCCATCCCCTACCCTGCTTCCCCCCATCCCCTTCCCTGCTTCCCCCCATCCCCTTCCCTGCTGTAGCAGAGAAATGGGCACTCACCTGGGCTATCCTCTGTAGCGATCCGCAGGGGCGTGTGCTGCACCTTGCTCCCCGTCACTCCGCAGTATCCGCTCACGTTGTGCGCGCGGTGGTTGTAGCCAGGTCACCTGGGAGGGCGCGCTTCTCGTCGCCGGGAACGCGGGCTCCGCGTCGCCTGGAACGCGGGCTCCGCGTCGACTGGATGGCGGGATCAGATCCGCCTGAAATGCGAGATCCGCGTCGCTAGGAATGCGGGCTCCGCGTCGCGAGGAATGCGGGCTCCGCGTCGCACAGAACGCGAGCAGCTAAATGTGGCGAGCGAGTGCTGCTCGGCGCAAGGTGCGCGAGCCGAATCTAGTCCGCTTTCTTCCCCCTGGCTAGTCACAACGACTCCAATACACTCGTCGTTTCTTGTTGTGCCTAGCTACCCGTAGTCTCCAGTCTGTAATCACGACCTTCTTCCCGTTAGTGCAATCGCGCTTGCACGTTCCTACACTTTGCTGTTGCCAGCTCCTGCGATGGTCGTTACCCAAGTAATGTGGGGTAAGGATCGTGTCGAACACGTCTCTGTTGTGGCGATGAGTAGGTGGCGTTGATAACCTGCACGTGCTTTACTTGCTCAGTTTTTATATTTCCCATTAGCATCGAGCTGATTCCCTGGTGAGGTGACTTCGGGTGAGCAACACTTTCCATGTGAGAGAGGATGTGTGCGACACATTTGTCGCTTTGGGTTGGTCGGATTCGCAGGTTTGGTGAGTGCGAAATGTTCACTTGTTTGCGGCGGAAAATTGTTCTCGCCAAGGGCAGCCAACCGAAATAGGCTTCGCAGATCTCGCATACAGCCTATTTCAAATACACATAACTTGATAATTTACCATGCTGACCCCGGGCTTTAATATGTCCCAAGAATGGGTGGATAATCTCAAGGGACTGCGCGTGTGCTCTGAGCCATTACAGCCCCCCTCTTTCCTCTCCCTTCTCCGCCACGTATTGTTGAAGCATGACGCAACGGGGCACGCGGCGGCGGAGTCGCTGCGCGACGTCGAAATGGAATTTTGCTCTCGCGAAATTCCTCTGCGTTCTTGCCTCGTTTCTAAGCCCCCCTGCCCTGCCGCCGAGCGACTTCGGCATTGTGCCACGTCAGCTTGGTAGAGCAAGCCGCGGATCGCGTCATCTTACGTGGTGCCCTTCGGGTGAACTCACCAGGTTGTCAGAGTCACTACGAGACTTGCTGGTCATAGATTCGCGATTGTGGAAGGACAGCTTATCACTGGTGGAAATAAAGAAAACATACGGTAAGGTTCTTTCCAGGCATTCGAGATAACCAGAGTCTGAAGTTGATGCTTGTGGTACTCACAACGGCGAAATCTCATATCGGATCAGATTGAAAATGGGATTCGAGTTTCTTCCAATTTCGTTGAGGGGGATGGAATAAGCTACAGTGGTCAACATTTTTTCGAGTCATTGACTGGAATTTCAAGGGCGTTTGACTCGCTGACGGCCTCTGTCCATTGCTTTCAGTTTGAGTCATCGCGCCGCGCAAATAAAATGCCCAGCGTTAGCGACGCGATGAGGGTACAAAAACGCACGCGGCATTTGGCAACTCATTCATTCACTCTTCATCACATTCACTGAGCCTCATTTTGGACTTGAAGCTTTCCGATTCTGTAGCTGCTTCCGTGTCTTCACTACCAAGCTCCTAGGAAGCTAGATTGCTCCTGTACAGCTAGATTTGGTTTTCCGTGGAGATATTAGCTGCATCCTAGGCATTGCACAAGCACAATGGCGCAGAGAGTCTCATTTTCGTCGAGCCAGCGTCGTCGCCGTGACCTGAGCGCGGCCCTTCTCCTCCTCTCACTTGTTCTTGTTTCATCTCTCCACGCGGCGTTGGCCTATCGCTTCTCCGCAGGGCTCCGCGCGGACAAGCTGCGGGGGGTGATGCGTGGATGGGCGCGAGGCGGAAGCTCGACCGGCCAGCAGCAGCAGCAGCAGCAGAGCGGCGGAATCAGTGGAAGCGGAATGGGCGGCGGCGGAATGGGTGGCGGCGGAATGGATGGCGGCGGAATGAGCGGCGGCGGCATGAGCGGCGGCGGAATGGGTGGCGGCGGAATGGGTGGCGGCGGAATGGGCGGAACCAGCATGGGTGGCGGCGGAATGAGTAGCGGTGGAATGGGTGGCGGTGGAATGGGTGGCGGTGGAATGGGCGGTGGCGAAATGGGCGGCGGCGGAATGGGCGGCGGCGGGATGGGCGGAGGCGGAATGGGCGGCGGCGGAATGGGCGGCGGCGGAATGGGCGGAGGCGGAATGGGCGGCGGCGGAATGGGCGGCGGCGGCACTGGTGGCGGCGGAATGGGCGGCGGCGGAATGGGTGGCGGCGGAATGGGCGGCGGCGGAATGGGCGGGGGCCGAACGGGCGGCGGCGGGATGGGCGGTGGTGGAATGGGAGGCGGCGGCATTGGTGGCGGCGGAATGCGAGGCGGCGGAATGGGCGGCGGCGGAATGGGCGGCGGCGGAATGGGCGGTGGCGGAATGGGAGGGGGCATGGACGGACCTGGTTCCTCTGCTCCAGGTTCGCAATCAGCCATGGGTCCTGGGGGAAACATGGGTGACGGCGGAATGGGCGGCGACGGAATGGGTAGTGGCGGAATGGGCGGAGGCGGCATGGGTGGCGGCGGAATGAGCGGCGGCGGAATGAGTGGCGGCGGAATGGGCGGCAGCAGCATGGGTGGCGGTGGACTGGGCGGCGGCGGAATGGGCGGCAGCGGAATGGGCAGCGGCGGAATGGGCGGCGGCAGAATGGGCGGTGGCGGAATGGGTGGCGGCGGAATGGGCGGCGGCGGAATGGGCGGCGGCATGGGCGGACCTGGGTCGTCTGCTCCTGGATCACAAGGAGCCATGGGTCCTGGGGGAAACATGGGCGGCGGCGGCATGGGTGGCGGCGGAATGGGCGGAGGCGGAATGGGCGGTGGCGGAATGGGAGGAGGCGGAATGGGCGACGGAGGCATGGGCGGTGGAGGAATGGGCGGGTCAGGGTGGTTTGCTCCAGGGTCGCAGGCAGCACCCGGCCAGGGTGGACCTGGGATGGGCGGAGGGATGGGCGGAGGGATGGGCGGAGGGATGGGGGGAGGAATGGGCGGAGGGATGGGGGGAGGGATGGGCGGAGGGATGGGCGGAGGGATGGGCGGAGGGATGGGCGGAGGGATGGGTGGAGGGATGGGCGGACCGTATTAGTCTTCTCCCAGAACAGTGGAAGGTTCACAATGGCACACCCTGACCAGTGTTCGCTAGGAGCATGGCCGCCGCAGCACTTCCAACGGAGCACCGCCAGCAGTGCTGCTTCGTCCAAGCTCCTCCCGATCGCCGGGTTCATCTAGCCATCCCACGCACAGAGCTGCTCATCCCAGCGCTGCTCATCCCAGCACTGCTCATCCCATGCATCGTAGATATCCAACGTTTAGCTCTGTCGTTGAGGTCTGTCATTATCGGCAAAAACCGTTTGTCGTTCCAAGCATCCAGGATTAAGCAGCAGTAATTGTTGCATAGACTTCACTCCTATCCCATTCTATTCTTGCTATTGTTGTCATGGTTATTGTATCGTTGTTATAGTGTGCCAAGAGTCGACTCAAAAGTCAACTTGGTTATTGTATTGTTGTAATACTGTGCCAGGAGCTTGCTTACATCTTCCTTGAACTGCTTGGACCAGGGTCAACTTAAGAACTAGTTAGGGCTGTCACTGCTGCTCAACGACCAGTCAGGTCTGTCGGATGCCGTACTGCGATCCATCCCCATGCCCACCCTGCTGGTAGGCGGACTTGTCAACAATGGCCTTATTGTAGGAGGGAGTGGCATTAGTGTGGTCCGGTTTTGAGAGCTTGCACAGCTGAGGGTGGTAGGGCTGGGATGGGGAGTGGACCAATCCACATTGCACCTTTCCTTGTCTTGTGTGGAGAGAAGTTGCAACCTGGAGATTAGGTGGCATAGGAATGTTGTCTGACACACCATCTCCTGCGCCACCAGGTGAAATTCATCTGCCAAAGGAGTGATTCAGAGTGCTGGTAAGAGCGAGAAACGAACTTCCGAGCAAGCAGAGAGACCCGAGTGGCTGAAGTGCATTGACTTCCTTTGCAGCCAGGGGGGCTTATAATTTCATTGCAATGATCACTTCCCTGCCTCCATCCATACCTCCATCCATACCTCCATCCATACCTCCATCCATGCCTCCATCCATGCCTCCATCCATGCCTCCATCAATGCCTCCATCCATGCCTCCATCTATGCCTCCATCAATGCCTCCATCCATGCCTCCATCTATGCCTCCATTCATGCCTCCATCCATGCCTCCATCCATGCCTCCATCCATGCCTCCATCCATGCCTCCATCCATGCCTCCATCCATGCCTCCATCCATGACTCCATCCATGCCTCCATCCATGCCTCCATCCATGCCTCCATCCATGCCTCCACCCTTCCATGCCATAATGCCTCCCCTCAACATCCCACCAGGTGGCATCACATCATCAAAGGGCAGGGTGCTACCAGCAGTGGCTGAAACAGGTCGGTTGCTCGCCCTGCTGCCGCACAGCAAGTGACTCATCCTGCCCACCAAGTATGCGGCTCTTGCTTCCAGGTAACCATCTCCATGATTCGAGTAAAAAGGGTAACCCTCCTCCCCAGGTACCCCCCCCCACACCAGGTAACCCTTCCCACCAGGTAACTCTCCCCACCAGGTGAAGAGGCGAGGGGAAGGGCGGAGGAGGTAGCTGAAGGGGAGGGAGCCGGAGCGGCTGCATGAGGACGTTGGGAGAAGCATGGACATGTGGCGGGTAGGTGGGAGGGGGGTGGGTGGAAGGGTTGTGGAAGGAAGGGGCTGTGTGGAAAGGGGAAGGGAGGTGGAAAGAAATGGGAAGGGAAAAGTGTTGATACGCCAAATACATGTGCCAAAGTTACATTCTTGCTGAACCCATACCCCTCTCCGTGCTCACCCCGCTCGACTGGCCCTCCCGCTCTTCAATATCTCACTTCCATGGCTGCTAACAAGTCACACCGCTCGAACAACCCTCCCATTGCATGCCCTTTGCTGCTCCAGGCGCTGGTATCACCGCTGGTGGTGGGCGAGGGCGTCCCAGCTTCCAAGACATGAGGGGATCTAAGTTTCGTTGTCTCGCACATCCCAGCTTCTGGCTGCAAGAATCTCTGAGAGAGCTTCTGAAAAGGTGGGTCCAGATGCTGTCAGGTGCACTACGGTGCAGTGAGGTGCTGATTCAATCTCTATCTTCCTCATCCTAGCTTCAGCTTCTGGAAAGGTGGGCTCAGGTTCTGTCATGTGCTGTTAGATGATATCAGGTGCTGTCAGGTGCTGTCAGGTGCTGTCAGGTGCTCGAAGGTACTGCTTCAAGTGCCGCAGCCATCTGTAGTCAGTCTTATGGAAAGGTGGGTTTCCATGGAGGACCAGGTGCTGGGCCAGGTGCTGGGTTAGGTGTTGGGTCAGGTGCTGGGCCAGGTCAAGTAAACGGGAAGGTTATCTGAGGTTGTTCTGTAGTAAACAGGAAAAGGGAGCACAGAAGCATGACGGTAATTGGTCCCTCGGTATAAGACTGGTAAAGTGTGATGCGGTGATTTGAGGTGAAACGAGGTGAGACGTGGTGAGCAGGACGGGCAGTTCAGATGGTTGCTCCTCATTATCCACATGCGCCCCCATCCGTCCCACCATGCCATCTCATCCCACCCATCCCCATCTCATCCCACCCATCTCCATGCCATCCTCACCCTTGCAGCTTCGGCCAAGTCAAGCCATCGCCTCGTGCTGTATACGAGCTTCTCACTGTAAGTTGCTACCTTTCGTGGTGTGCAATGTGCGCTTGAGGACCCTCACTTGTAAGTTGTTGCCTTTCACAGTGTGCTCAATATGACTCAACCCCCTGACTGATATGTACGCCCTCACAGTGTGCTTTATACGATCTTCTCACTGTAACCTGTTACCTTTCATGGTGGGCCACTGAGGAGCCTCACTTCCCTGTGGCAACCGTTCCCAGCACCATCTTCCCCAGGTGAGTGAGATGCTGTGAAGTGTGGTCGGAAGATGTGAGATGTGGTTAGATGGGGTGGGATGGGATGGGTGGGCGACTTTTCTGGCGCCTCAGAGTCATGTACGAGTCGCTCAACCTGGATCCCACCCCTGACATCAGCCCCGTCACAACCGTTCTTGGCACCAGCCTCCCCAGGTTGGATGCAGTGGGGTGCGTTGCAGTGGGATTCAGTGGGATGGCTGTCCTCCCCTCTGTAAGCCCTTCCGCTCCTTGTACGAGTCGCCCTGCCTTCACCCTACCACGGATTTCAGTCCTGTCACAGTTGCTCCCGGCAGCAGCCTCCCCAGGTGAGATGCGGTGGGGTGGGGTGGGGTGGGTTTTCATACGGTAAGATGGCATGGGATGGGGTGGAATGGAATGGAATGGGATGGAATGCGATGAGAAGAAATAGCATGGAATAAGATCCCATGGCATGAACTTGCTCTGTTCTGAACCTTTCTCCTCCCCCATCTCCCCCCAACCCCACCAGCCTAATTCCGCTTCCCAATCGCCTGAAGAGAGTGTCTTTTCATCTCAACACGCCCATGGACTTCAAGGACCTGTGGCCTGAATTCTTACGACATTGAATCTGGTTGGGCGAAGCCACAGGTTCAGACATTCGATTCGTGGTGAGATCCAACACTTGGTGCAAATGGCTTTGCTGATTAGTATTATTGGTTTAGAGTCTTCTGCAAACTTGGAGCGATGATGCGTGAGGACGAACACTCTGACTCTGCATGGCATGAGATACGATGAATGGCATGATTTAGCATGGAGGGCATGATCTAGGCCTAGGAGCACGAGATAATATGGGAGGCAGGAGAGATGATGGTTGGCGTGAGATAGGATCAATGGGATGAGTTGACATGGATTACACCAGCTAGCATGGATGGATGGCACTGGTAGGGCTGAATGCCACAAAAATTTATGAATGCCACAAAAATCTATGCACTTTATCCAACGAATTTGATCCTCCCTTCCCTCTTCGTGTTCCTCTTTTTCATAGACTTGTTCACATATTTCTGTCGTTCATAAGATTTGTGTGAACTGAGAAGTCTCAAATGCACAACTTTCCATTGCTGCTTTCTCCTCTTATTGTCAGAACATTATAGCTTATACATTTGTGTAGGCTGTAGTGGGGTAGCCCATATGGGGTACAACCCAATTAGGGTTAGTACTTGTACCCAACTCTTTCATAGTTCATTCATCCATTCTCACTTCTCGTCATGGTATCGAGCAGGTTCCCGAGTGGGAATACTGCCTAGGGCCCACCACGATTTTTTTTTTGTTTTTTTTTTTTTGTTTTTTGTTTTTTTTTTTTTGTTTTTTGTTTTTTTTTTTTTCCTTCCTTGTCCAGAGCGCGCTTCACTCCTGCCACGAGTAGCGCCCCGAGTCGCCTTAGTGGCCCCTTTGGCCGCCCTTACTACTCCTCGAGCCGCCCACCGTCGGCCCCGCTTAGCCCACCGTCGGCCCCGCTTAGGCCCCGTTGGCCCCGCTACAGCCCCGCTACGGCCCCGATTGGCCGCGCTTAGGCCCCGTCGGCCCCGTTGCGGCCCCGCTTAGGCTCCGTTGGCCCCACTTCGGCCCCATTGCGGCCCCGCTACAGCCCCGCTACGGCCCCGTCAGCCCCGCTTGTCGAAAGAAATAGGAAGGGCCTAGGCTTAGGAGCCTAGGCCCGAACTTAGGTATCGAACGGGTTTTCACCTAGGGTGAGTGTCGAGTGAGTTGAGAGAGGAGAAAAGGAGAATGTGTGGCTTCACTATAGTTTCGAAGTACATATAGCAAAGGAAACACATAAGGTGCACCACCAAACAAAGTTTAAATATCTACACTAACTACAGCTACAGGCAGTTACAAATATATATATTGTGACACTCCCCCATAACTGGCTGCAGCAGGAGTATGTGTAGAATACAACCTGCAGGTGTATACATGCAAAATAAATAGCAAGCAACAGCAGGTAATGCAGGCGGGCTGACACTAAGTGGTCACCCCCTCCATCTCCTCACCCTCCTCCTTCCCCTCCCCCACACTGCTGCAGGAGCAGCAGAGAAGGGGGGGGAAGAGAGGAGAGGTGGAGGGACGGCTGCATGTTGCCTCACACCCGCCACCCCGGTACCACTCCCCCTGCTCCCCCACATCCTCACACCCTCCCCCCCCCAGCGGCAGCTGCAGCGGTGGGACTGAAAGAAGGAGGAGGGGAAGGGAGAGAGGTGACGCCACACTCCAACACCCTCCACCCCCATACCCTCCTCCCCGCGGCTGCAGGGAGACAAAGGAGGAGGGGGGTGGGAAGGAAGAAAGCCGCAGAGCGGCGAAAAGGTGTCGGTGCAGTGGTGTCAGGGGCGGCTTCAGGGAGTGCAGGGGCGGAAAGGCCCGTCGCGGGCCAGTGCCACGGGGCGCACGACGGGTAGAATAAAAGGGCCCGATTGTGTGCCTCGGGGCGCACGACGAGCAGGGCACCATCGTGTGCCACGGGGCGCACGATGGGCAGACGAAGGGCACCGTCGCGTGCCACGGGGCGCGCGACGGGCAGGGAAGGAGTCACTCGCCCGTGGGCGGGACAAGGTAAAAATAAAATCGTCACGCGCCCTAGGCGCGCGACCGGAAAACCTTAGCAGCGGAAGTGTAAAGTGGGCCCACAGGCCAGGACGAACCTAGCTCCGATAACATGTCGAAAGAAATAGGAAGGGCCTAGGCTTAGGAGCCTAGGCCCGAACTTGGGTATCGAACGGGTTTTCAACTAGGGTGAGTGTCGAGTGAGTTGAGAGAGGAGAAAAGGAGAATGTGTGGCTTCACTATAGTTTCGAAGTACATATAGCAAAGGAAACACATAAGGTGCACCACCAAACAAAGTTTAAATATCTACACTAACTACAGCTACAGGCAGTTACAAATATATATATTGTGACACCGCTTAGCCCACCGTCGGCCCCGCTTAGCCCACCGTCGGCCCCGCTTAGGCCCCGTCGGCCCCGTTGCGGCCCCACTTAGGCCCCGTCGGCCCCACTTCAGCCCTGTTGCGGCCCCGCTACAGCCCCGCTACGGCCCCGTTGGCCCCGCTTAGCCCACCGTCGGCCCCGCTTAGGCCCCGTCGGCCCCGTTACAGCCCCGCTTAGGCCCCGCTACGGCCCCGTCGGCCCCGTTGCGGCCCCGCTTAGGCCCCGTCGGCCCCCACTTCGGCCCCGTTGCGGCCCCGCTACAGCCCCGCTACGGCCCTGTCGGCCCCGCTACGGCCCCACTAAGGCCCCGTCGGCCCCACTTCGGCCCCGCTACAGCCCAGCTACGGCCCTGTCGGCCCCACTTCGGCCCCACTACGGCCCCTTTCGGCCCTGTTGGCCCCGCTACGGCCCCACTTCGGCCTCGTTGGCCCCTCTTAGGCCCCGTTGCGGCCCCGCTACCGCCCAGCTACCGCCCCGTCGGCCCCGTTGCGGCCCGCTACAGCCCCACTACGACCCCGTCGGCCCCGCTACCGCACCGCTAAGGCCCCGCCGGCCCCACTTCGGCCCCACTGCGGCCCCACTAAGGCCCCTGCTACGGCCCCGTCCCGTCGCCACCGCGGCCGATTTGCCCGACAACCGAGCCGCCCAGCAGCCGAGCCACCCGACAACCGAGCCGCCAGGTGGCCGAGCCGCCCAACAGCCGAGCCGCCCGACAGCCGAGCCGCCCAGCACCGTGCAGCTAAGCCACCCAGCAGCCGAGCCGCCCAGCACCGTGCAGCCGAGCCGCCCTGCAGCCGAGCCGTCGAGCA